GACTACTAAATATTGCAAAGACTGCAAAAATAAATCTATCTGCAGAAAAGTGCAATCTGTTCTTGGAAGCAAAGATGTAAAACTTCATTTCATTGACTTTGGGCATATAAACCAGGAGGTGCCAGTCCTTGAAAAAGAACATTGAGGTTAGAAAAGTAGATTTTTAAAAGAGAGAAAAAAGCCTTCAAGTAAACTGACTGACTCAGTGACTGCAACAATGGATTTCTGCATGGTTATAAGAGTGGGACAAATAGGAAAAGGCCTAGATCTTTTATACATTGGGTGGCTATGTGTTTGGGATCACTTTGAAGGTACCTGATAATAGCATATCTTTCAATGTATTATATAAGAATGGTGTTATATAGCCAAGCTATACTCAGTAGTTTCAATCTATCTCATCTGGGGTGTCCCTCTCCTGTGCTGTCCATCCACCCTTCAGAGCAAGGACCTTCTCCAAGGACCACTCTCTCCTAACCATATGCCCAAAGTAAGTGAAGCAGAGCTTGGTTTCACCTTCCAAGAAGAGACTTGTTTTCACCCGTTCCAAGACAGACATATTTTTTTACTCTGCAGTCCAGGATATGTTCAAGACTCTTCTCCAGCACCACAACTCAAAAGCATCTACTCTTCTTCTGTCATCCTTAGTCATTGTCCAACTCTCTGAAGTATAAAAAGTAATTTAGAAACGTGTGGCCTGGATTAGGTGCACCTTTGTATCTCAAGTGACATCAACAGTCCATAGTATATTCAATACTCATCTCCAGCATCACAGCTAAAAGTCATCAGTTCTCCTTTTACCATCCCTAGTTATTGTGTATAGCAAGCAATTGTGAAGACTTCGGCCTAGTTCAGGTGCATCTGAACCTCAGGATTGGCATTGTTGCTCTTCAGTACCCTGGAGAGGTTTCTGACAGCAGATTTCACAATGCAATTCTTCTTTTGATTTCCTGTCTTCGGGTACATAGAGTGTTGATTTTGTATCCAAGCAAACTGAATCAATAGTCCATTATATATTTATTTAAAACACCATAGTTCAAGGGAATTGAATATTATTTTATTTTCCTTATTCCATGTGCAATTTTAACACACATATGAAACTACTGAATATAGCTTGGCTTGGGTTGAGTGTGTCTTAGACTTCAGAACTTTAAAACACGGTGGCTATAAATACTGCTAATATATTATGTGGTATAATACTGGAACATTTTTTAGCTTACTTTTCCATATGCCAATAGTAAAACTACTCTAAATTTGTAATACTGATTAGAGAAAATATTCAATAGCAGACTCTCTAGAAATGAAACAAGTTCCTCTGTGAAATGAGACAGCCATTAAGAGTTATGATATATTTTCACATATGGCTGTTCAAAAAAGTTATAAGAATGTGTAAGACAATTTACTCTCAAGATTGACTTATAAGTATCCTAGTTTTTCTTACAAGTGTAGCCTTTTGTTATCATAAAACAACTCAATTTCTTGCCAATGAGTAGGAACTGACTCATAGGTGAGTCTCAAGTGTATTTTGAGAGGTTACAAATCACACAGAACATTGTCCATCTTTCTCCTTAAGAGTAGCTGGTTTTGCGGGCTGCCCTCAGCCCTCTGCCCGGGGCGAGCCGTCGAGGCCCTCTGCCAGGGGCGAGCTGCCCTTGGCCCCCTGCCCGGGGCGAGCCGTCGTGGCCCTCAGGGTGAGCTCCTCAGTCCCCAGATTGTGCCATCTGACCCCTGGGTGGGGAAGGAGAAGAAAAAAAAAGAATGCTTAGGGTATCCAGAGAATGTTACCTAGGCCACCTTCTCTCCCCCTCCCCCCCAGTAAACCTGAAAGCAACACCCTCAAAACCCTTCTATTTGTAACTCACAAGTTTGTTCTCTCTAGGTTTGCTCCCTTTAATATAGGTAACCTTAACTCTGAGTTTTACTCCATAATTGACCCTGAACCCAGTGCCAGTGACAAAAAGGAAATACAACTGACAGCTAAGGAAGCAAAGGAGGATGGAGCCTCTGGGTTCAACCAGCCATCCCCACTGGACCCACCTGGGAAAACACTTTGCAGTCCAGCGGGGAGCAAATGACAGGAACATATCTTCTAACAGAGCAAGAAGGCAAGCAGCTGTAACCCACCAGTAAGGTGATAAAGCGTCCTCCCTTCCCCCCCTTTACATCTACGCCCCTGTTCAGCATGAAGAAGCCAGAGAGTCGGCATCCAATTCCCAAATCAATTAGACAGTTGGTTTAATTACTATTGGAAAATGCTTGTCATTCCCCTGTAGCATCTGGTCCCCACTGGACCCTCATCATTTCCTTCACCTGCTCCCCCCACCGACCAAACTGTACAGCTCTGCAACTGCATCCTGGCCCATCCTCACCCTTCTGCCCCCAACCCTCACCTCCTTGTACCCCCAATATGTTTTCCCAATAAAAAATATTAATAAAAAAAAGAGTAGCTGGTTTATTCAAACCACCTATATTTGGGTTTTTAGCACAGATCTTACTCACCAAACCACCAAAACTCCTTAGAGTTTTCAGAAAACACATAAGACATTTTAGTAGATAGAAAAATCTAATGCTGCTGCTTTAGATATTTTATATGTGTTCTCCAACAAACACACACAGATCCAATGGCAAATGAAGGGAATTTTACTGGTTAAAATGTTTGTACACATCCTCTGGCTAATCTCACTAGCATAGGAGGGCAAGGGTTTAAGCAAAAACAAAATAAACAAAGGCAGAAAAATCAACTTTCATAACAATTGAAGGGAAGAGAAACTTCACAGATTAAGTGCTGAATAAAGGAATTTAAAAAAAAACCTCAAAAGAGGGACCCAGATCCCAAGTAGATACAACTTATTATATATTGAATTTCTGTTTTCAATTCAATGTTACAACTTATCAAAGAAGTACAAAATTATCATATATACATAAAGAAAAATGTAAAAATATATTGTGTATAAGGAGTCCAGAAGTTAATAGAGAAAATACTTTAGCAAAGCTATTATGAATGTTTGAAAAGACCAAGTGAAACGATATAAAAAATTAAGGTAAGTGACTTACTTGTAACATTGAAAATACCATCAAAGAAAAAAAAAACAAACCCAAACAAACATAAAATAACCAGAAGTAAATTCAGGAGTGTAATGTTCTATAATTAAAACTTCACTAAGGAGGCTATCAAAAGAATTTATTATATGAAAGGATGGGAAAAACCTAGATGCACATTAATTAGTGAGTAGATAATACTATTTAATGTAATAAAGGATGAAGCACTCAAACTAGAAAAACAGAAAGAGCAAAAATCAAATCACAAACTACTCACAGCCAAGGCATCAAATCCAACACATAACAACTTTTCATGGAATTGACAAAGTTTGTAAATCTTAAGGAGACTGCATGTCTTAAGCCCAAGGAGCCACTAGTGGATTGGAACTGTCTCTCTAGATGCATGGCTTTTTGCTTAGTAGTGTAAAATGATACAGACTATGCCATTTGTTGTCTTTTGTGTACTCTCAAGTCAGAATTGACCCATGGTTAACCATCCAAGTGGGTTTTCAAAGGCAGGTAGTCACACAGGAGATTGCCCATCTTTCTCCCACAGAGCAGCTAGTAGTTAGAATTTAATGGTTTTGGGTTGGCAGTGCAACAATTTACTAGTAGGCCACCAGAGAGCTCCCTAATGAAACAGTGCCCAAAACAAATAAATAATCAAATAAACAAAAAGATATATTTTACATAATTAAAGATAATTTTTCAATGTAAAATAACTCAAATGCAAAAGTCCACATAAATGTATGATTTATTTTATATGATTTGTTCTGAAAAAGGCAAATTTTAGAATCAGGATATGGATTAATTGTTCTTTAGAAGTAAGAGAAGGAGCAAGATTTCATGGCAAACGAGCACATGTAGCCTTTTTGGGTAACAGCAATTCTTTAAAATTGAATAAATCAGTATACTTAAAATATATTTTGCATAAATTATACATAAAATTATTAAAACATTGCTATTTAAAGTAATAACCTTTATGAACCAAAGCGCCACATACTCTTTTTTTGGCAAATTGTAATAATTCTTTTTAAAAAGACATTGTTTAGACTTTTTTACGCTTCATTGTTTGCATTTTTTCAATATTAAACTCACTGAATTGCTTAAATGGTATTATTGCATTATTCACACAAAAATTAAGTAGCAACCACCATAACACTGATAAATAAGAAACTCAGAATAAAATCAAAATGCTAAAAGATTCAGAACTAGTTTTCTTACAGGTAGCTTGACTCCTACATTCAAAAATTACAGATTAATACTAAAGAACAGACATTAGAATGAATATAGTTCAATAGATGACATCTTTCTAGAGTCTACAATTGGCACCTAAAAGACCTATAGTATAAATACTAAAACTTTTCATTCCCTAAGAATTAAAAATTTAATAATTGCCAAGTGATATTTTGTTTTCACTACAATACTAGAAGAAAAGAAGAGAGGGGACTATCTTCTCATAAAACACTTTGAAAGTAGTACCAAAACTAGAATCAAATGCATTTCATTCAAGGGTATCACCAGCATCATTTCAGAGTTAAAATTAAAATAGTGTCTATGGGCAAAAACTCAGTTATGACGACATTAAAATACGAGTATCCAAGTAAGTGAAAATAAACTACAGGTTTTCACATTTTCACCAGTTTGTATTTCTACTTTACACTTACATTATCATAAACTAAATAACACAAATTATCAATACTAACACAAAGACTATAGTTTCTTTCCTTGGCTTAATAAATGAATATTTTCCCATTGATTATATTCTCACTGTCAATAATTTAATAAACTTTACCGTTTTCTATTAGGTATGTTTTCCTGCCAGAATGAACAAAAATATTCATATTAAGTAAATCTTCAAAGTTTAAGATTTAATTAACAACCGCTAAGTAGGCCAGAATTTTTTTAAAAAATAAAACAAAAGAAATTTAAAAAATCAAAAACATTGAGTAAAAAACTCTTACCACGCCAATAGAAAAGTAATTATTGATGATGCTGTAAGGCACTGGATCTCCTTTTTCATCTTTGTCATTAGGTATAACTTCAAACTTCCACCTGTCCAGCATGATTTCAGTACTGTTTTCAATGTCTTTTAGGATTTTCATCAGATTCTCACCTTCATAACCTAAAGAGGAAAAATTATCATTAGAAAGATACATGAACAACAAAAGATATATTTAAACAAATTTAAATGTGTGTATGTATATGGATAATTCTAATGCAAAAGAATCTATTAATCAAATTTTAAGTGTAATGTATAAACTTATAGCAAGATATTATTTTAACTTTAATTTACAGTTCATATTTCTCCTCTGTAAAAAAATGTACTCTAGTGAGTCAACACTCTCTAAAGAAGAATATATCATATAAATAAATCAACAAAGCCACAGTTTTTAGTCAATTAGGATTAAATAATAATCTTATGAGAAAGAGTGGCACTTTCTCATACATAGATATTTCAAGGCTGTAATTCTTCAGAAAAGCAGATTTTCTCATTTTTATCCTGTGAAGGTTTTGGTAGACTTAACCACTGACCATTCAGTTAGCAACCAACACTTAATCAACTGCATATAATTAAACCCCTTGGTAACACATTGGCTATTTAAATATAGGACATAAAGAATTATCAATTGCCTTTATTTTAGTGGGTATCTCAGATTCTACTCTCATCCTCAATGTTTTACTTAATATTTTATGACTAATAATAGAAGTTGTTTTTATGTGCTGCTGAGTTGCTTGAGATTTATAGCAACCTGAAATAGCCTCAAGAGCCCTGAAACCTGCTCTATCTCGTGTCAACCTTATTGTTTCTGATACATCTACTCTAATTGGCCCAGTTACTAAATCAATCCATCTCATCAATGGTCTTCCTCTCTTTCACTCTCCTTCCATCCTTCCAAGCATGATGCCCTTCTCTGAGGGCTGGTCCATGCCCAGGGCATGTCAGATAAAGCCCCAGGAACCTTGCCTCAGAATCCTTGACTTCAAGCAGCCTCCTGGCTTTCCCGTCTCCAGTTTGTTCTCTTAGCAGTCCATGGTATGTTCAACACTATTCTCCAGCACCACAACTCAAATGCATTGATTCTTCTGTCATCCTTTTTCATTTCCAGCTCTCTAATGCATAGAAAGTAATTGTGAAGGACCTGGACTGGATCAAACATGTCTTTGTCTCTAGACTGACTTGTTGTTTCTTAGTACTATGGAGAGGTCCCTCGCAGCAGATTTTCCAGATTTTCCAAGTGCAATTTGTCTTTTGATTTCCTGGCTTCTGGTACCAAGAATGCTGATTGTAGAACCAAGGAAGCTGAAGCTTTTAACAATCTTAAACTCTCCTCCATCTATAATGATCTTGCCAATTGGCCCAGTGGTGAGAATCTTTGTATTCCTGATTTTGAGCTTCAATACATATTGAAGACTATAGTCTTTGGCTTTCTGAAGCAAGCATTTCAGATCCTCCTCAGTTTCAGCAAACAAGGTTAATTGATCTCCATAAATTGCTGATGAGTCTTCCTCCAATCTCTAGACCACATTCCTCCTCATAATGAAGTCCAGCCTCACGAATAGAGTAATATTCTTACTAACAAGAAAATCATTCTTGTTTTCTATCCCATCAAGTCACCTGTGACCCACAGGAAATGTATATACAATAGCTCTGAAACTTTTCCTGTGCTGAGCCAATCTTTGTTTTCGACACATCTGTTTCTATTATCCCAGTCATTGTGTCAATCCATCTCATCTGGGGTCTTCCTCTCCTACTACGTTGTCTCTACACCCTTCCAAGAATGATGTTCTTCTCCAAGGACTGGTCCCTTCTGGCCAGTGCCAAAACATGGTACATATCTTCAAAATTTTTCAAGGAACAACCTGTACTCAACTCTCTCCAGGAGAGACTTGTTCGTTCTTTAGGCAGTCTATGGTGTGTTCAATACTCTTCTCCAACACCACAACTCAAAGAAACCAATTCTTCTTCTGTCATCTGTAGTCATTGTCCAGCTCACTGTGATGCATAGCAAGTAATCGCAAAGACCATGCATGGCCTAGATCACGCACACCTTATTCTCTAGACTGACAACTTCACACTTCAACACTTTGGAGAGGTCACTAACTTTCCTAATGCAATTAATATTTTGATTTCTTGGCTGCTTTTTCCAAGAGTGTTACTTGTGGAGCTAAGCAAGCTGAAATTGTTAATAATTTCCATCCCTTCTTCATCCATCATGGTGCTGCCAATTGGCCCAGTGGTGAGAATCTCTGTCTACTTGATGTTTGGCTCCAATCCATACTGAAAATTGCAATACTTGACCTTCTGCAGCAGATGCCTCAGGTTCTTCTCAGTTTCAGAAGTCAAGGTTGTATAATCTGCATAATGCAAGTTGTTGATGAATCTTCTTTCAATCTTGATGCCAAATTCCTCATCATGAAGGCCAGCCTCCTGAATGATCTGTTCTGCATATAGATTGAATAGGTATGGAGACAGGACACATGCCTAACACATTCCTTCACTGATTATGAACCAGGTAGTTTTTCCTTCCTCTTTTGTGATGACTGCATCCTGGTCCAAGTAGAGTTATCACATGGGCACAATCAGGTGATCTGGAATTCCCATTCTTGTCAAGGTTAGTCACAACATGTTGTGATACACATAGTTGCCTTTACATTGTCAATAAAACACAGATAGACATTCTTCTAGTACTCTCTGCTTTCAGCCAAAATCCATCTAACATTGTAAATGATGTCCCTAGTGCCATAATATCTTCTAAATCTAGCCTATACTTCTGATTGTTCTCAGTTGATGTAATGTTCCAGTATTTTTTAATAACCTTCAGTAAGATTTTTTTGCTTGAATGTGATATTTGTGATGTTGTTGTTATGTGCCATTGAGTTGCTTGTGGCTCATAGTGACCCTGTGTACAAGAGCCCTAAACCCTGCTCTATCCTGTACCAGCCTCATTGTCTCTAACACACCTACTCCCATTACCCCACTCACTGAATCTATCCATCTCATTGAGGGTCTTCCTCTCTTGCACTGTCCCCCCACACTCCCAAATGTAATGTACCTCTCCAAGCACTGGTCCCTCCTTGCAACATGCCCAAAGTATGTCAGGCAAGGCTTCAGAATTCTTGCCTCCAAGGAGCGGACCAGTTTCACTCTCTCCGGGATGAACCTGCTTATTCTCCTAGCAGCCCATAGTATATTCAACACTCTTCTCAAGCACCACAGCTCAAAGTCATCAGTATTCTATCAGCCCTAGTCATTGTCCAGCTTTCTGATGCATAGCATGAAATTGTGAAGAGTATGGCATGGATCAGGCACACCTTAGTCTCCAGCCTCATGTCACTGCTCTTCTGGACTCTGGAGAGGTTCCTGACAGCTCACTTTCTCAATGCAATTTGTCCTTGATATTAGTGATATTGTTTGATAATTTCCACACTCTATTGGATCACCCTTTTTTGGAATAGGAATAAGTATAGGTCTCTTCCAATGTCAACTGGCCAGATAGCTGTCCTCCAGATTTCTTGATACAACCTGGTGAGCATGTCCAGGGCAGGCTTCTGTTTGCTGAAATATGTCAGTTGGTATTCCATCAATTTCTGGGACCTTGTTTTTTGCAAATTCCTTCAGAGTAGCTTGAGGGTGCTCCTTCATCACCATTGTGTCTGGTTCATATGCTGTTTTATGAAATTCTTCTGTGTCAGCCTATTATTATCCATACTTCTTCCATCTTTGTTTAATGCATCCTGTATCGTTCAATACTCTGCCCATAACATCATTAAGTATTACAACGCAAGGCTTAAATTTGTTCTTCAGTTCCTTCAGGTTAACGAAAGCCAAGCAAGTTCAGCCTTTTTGATTTTCTGACTCCAGCTCTTTACACATTTCATTATACTTTGCTTTTTCTTTCTGAGCTGACTTTTGAAATCTTCTGTTAAGCTCCTTAACTTCTTAGCTTCTTCCCTTTGCTTCTCAATGCTCTAGTCTAATATTCAGTCTCTTTTGATATCACTTTTGATATTACAAACATAATAAATTCATTACTACAAATAGAACACCAATAATGGAAGTTCCATTACAAATTTGAGTTTTAAATGATATATGATTTGGAAGCAGAGGTAAAATTAATTTTCAAATATCAAAAATATATCGTAGAAATATATAACAAGACATATACAATTTCTCTTTATCTGAATCAATATGCAGATTTGTTGTTGTTATGTGCCATCAAGTTCTTTGCGACTCATAGCAACAGTATGTACAATAGCCCTAAACTTGCTCTATCCTGTGCCAATCTTATAGTCTCTGACACACCTATGATTGTTATCCCAGTCACTGAATCAATCCATCTCATTCAGGGTCTTCCTCTCTTGTGCTGTCTCTCCACCCTTCTAAACATGAGGTCTCTCTCCCAGGACTGTCTCTCCTTGCAACACATCCAAAGTATCTGATGAAGCTGCATGATCCTGTCTCCAAGGAGGAACCTGGTTTCACTCTCTCCAGGTTTAATTTGTTTGTTCTCCTGGCAGTCCAAGGTATATTTAATACTCTTATCCAGGACCACAACTCAAAGGCTATCATCCTTAATCATTGTTCAGTTTTCTAATGCATAGCAAGTAAATGTGAAGACTATGGCCTGAATCAGGGGTACCTTAGTCTCTATATTTATATCATTGCTCTTCAGTACTCTGGAGAGGTCCCTGACAGCCGACTTTCCTAACACAATTCATCTCTTGATTTCCTGGCTGCTGGTACCAAGAGTGTTGATTGTGGAGCCAACAAATTGAAGCTGTTAACAATTTCAATTTCTTCACCATCTATCATGATGCTGTCAATTGTCTCAGTGGTGAGAATGTTTGTTTTCTTGATGCTGAGCTTCATTCTATACTTAAGGCTGCAGCCCTTGTCCTTTTGCAGCAAGATCTTCAGGTCCTCCTCAGTTTCAGCAAGCACCATTGTGTCATCTGCATAGCACAGGTTGTTGATATATCTTCCTCCAATCCTGATGCCACATGCCTCCTCATAGAGACCAGCCTCCTGAATGATCTGTTCTGCAGATATAATGAAAAAGAATGGATATAGGACACATCCCTGGCATACGTTTGAACCATGAAGTGTTTCTTTATTCTGTTCAAACAACAGCCTCCTGTTCCCATCATATGTTTCCCATAAACACAACCAAGTGTTCCGGGATTCTCATTCTTCTCAGAGTCAGCCACAGTTTGTTGTGATCCACACAGTCAAATGCCTTAGTGTAGTAAATGAAACACAGTTAGACATTCCTCTAGTATTCTCTGCTTTTAGCCAAGATCCAACTAACATTAGATATAATATCCTTAGTACTACAGCCTCTTCTAAAACCAGACTGCACATCTGGAAGTTCTCTTTTGATGTGCTGCTCCAGTTGTTTTTGGATAATTTTCAGCAGAATCTTGCTTGCATGTGATACTAATGATATTGTTCAATACTTGTTACACTCTGCTGGGTCACCTTTCTTTGGAACGAGAACACATATAGATCTGTTCCAGTCACTTTGCCAGGAGGTCATCCTCCAGATTTCTTAGCACAACGTGGAAAGCACATCCAGGGCAGCATCTGTTTGTTGAAATATGTCAATCGGTATCCTGTCAATACCTGCGACCTTGTTTTTTGGCAATTCTTTCAGAACAGCTTGAACTTCTTCCTTCATCACCACAGGATCTTGCTCATACGTTGTTTCATGAAACTTTTCTGTGTTAGCCAATTACTTTTGAAACAGTGACTCTGTCTCCTCTTCCATCTTCTCTTAATGTTTCCTGGATCATTTGATATTTTACCCAAAGCATTCTTAAATATTGCAACTCAAGGCTTGAATTTGTTCTTCAATTCCTTCAGCTTAAGAAGTGCTGTGCAAGTTTAGCACAGATGAGTATTGGCAAAAACAAATCAATGGTGATGTTTTAATTATTTATCTCTTTAGTCCAGAGGAGATAAGTCAGCATTTTTGCAATTTTTTTGTTAAACTATATTTTTATTTAAAACCCCATAAGATTATATGGTAAAAACTTAAATACCTAGATTTATATGTCTGATAAATACACAGTTAACAGTATATTAGCTGGCCCCATAATCAGAGAATAAATGTGATCAAAGTTTGTTGTGAGTTGCATAAGGAATATATTTGAAAAGAAAATTACTTGCTCAGTGTCCACCCTTAGGGATTTCCATTCAGTCTGAGGTGGGATCAGGTCACTATATTTTTAACAAGCTCCCTAAGGGCTGGTTCACATTGTTTCAGTAGACACTTTTCAAACTTCTCTAAGTGAGTATAGATATTAAAAACATTTAACAATCAGTTTCTACTTCTTTAACAAATTGGGTTTTGTTTTTGTTTTTTTCTTTAATGATTATCATCAAGTAAGTACAGTCTATTAGTGACCCATTAAAGTAGATACAAGATTTCCTATGAAAACATTAAAATTATTTTTTAAGATTTAAAATATTTTGAAAATAGTTGAATTCTAAATGTGAATAGAGTCCTTGGGTTCCTCCTGCTCACTTTTACTTTCTTGAATGTGTCAAGCACCTTGCTACTAGGATACCCTAAACTCAATACAGTCTCTATTATAGCAACTCCTAGCTACGTACGGCTGATTATCCAATCCGTTACCTAATTAATCATTGCTTAGGGAGGTTTTCCATTATTTTATTCATCTAAAATAATAAAAAAGAGTTTGCTTAATCATTACTAGATTGTCTATTTAAACGAGACTTTAAGTCTTATCAGGATTTAAGGTATATTAAGGACAAACATTGTGTCTCTGTTCTTACCTCTGTAAGTTTATGGACAACCTCCAAGGATAAAGTGTCAAAAATAAGTGTCAAATAATATATTCCTGGACAATGAGTTTATTTTCTTTCTCATTTTTGTCATACAACTTGTAGGATAAACACTTGGGCATTTACTAATTGTGTACCAATAAGTTCTGACTAACGGCACTGCAAGATAATCTATGTTTATCTCACTTTCTATGTTACGAGACTGAAAAAAAAAAACCAAAACACAAACTCACAAAGCTTGGATATTGGCCTTCCCAAGGCCAAGACTATAATTAGTACGATATTAAAGTCTAGCACTTACTAAATATCTTTGTCTAGTATTTGTTCCTTTGCCCAGACAACTGTCTGAAATCATGTACTATATATCTGACAGCAATCACATTATCATGCAGTAAAGAAATGCTGGAGGACGGGAGAATTGGTACACACAGTGTTTCTTTGTTTTTGTAAGCGTTTTGTTATTGTTGCAGGTGTTTTACCTCCTCCCCATCGCAGGCATCTTGCTAGATCATTGCCAGTCCCAAGAGGCAGAATAGCAACTGGAGGATGCTTGACTACATTGGCCTTTTCTGTGGAATAAAAAAAATTTAAAAACAGGTAGAAAATAGTGAAAAAGAGCTTGAGATTAAATTAATTACTTGCATTAGGCACTTATAACTAGAAAGAAGTTATATATAAATGCAAAAACAAGTTGGCCAAAAATTATTGGCACAGATTAATTCCATTACATACACAGAGTTAGATCATAAAAATATTCCTATAGAAGTGCTATCAAAATAGAGAGCAAGTGTATATGGAAAATTTTTCTCCACATCACTTCCAGGTATATTTTATAATAAGAGCAAAAATATTTGGAAATTTTAATTCTAAATGTTTAAAGCTCTTACAATTGAGCTGTGATTTCTCTAACTACCATGCTGCTTTGTATCAGATTACATGATCCACAATATAAGGAGTAACTTTAACAGTGGCAGGTTTTCAATAATATTTAAAATCAAGGATTTGGGCTCAGAACAAGAAAATCTCCAGCATTGATTCTGTAAGTTTTTATGTGAATAGCTCATATTTTGAGTGAATCTCACACGTGTACTATTCAATTTTTCTTTTTTTCCTCTCTCTTTCCTCAGCTCCTGAAGGTTAACAGTAACATACATGTAATAAAGTGACAACCAATTATTTAAAGGATGGATGTCGAAGTGTATCAGACAAGGATTTGATTTGGAGAGCTAAAACAAACAAAAATAACCTACTTAAAACATCAAAGCCTTCAGATAGTGCTTGAGCAATTAAAACGTTCCTAAGTTTTGAGTTTAGTTTTTATGCTAAATATAGCATGTAAATACGGTCTCAAACTTTTATTATAAGAGCAATGAAGAGGTTATACTGTTGCTTCTCTTTCTGCAATGTTCTCATAAAAACATAAACTTACTATCATCAAGTTGGAACTGACTCACAGCTAATTGTCCGCTGGATTTTAAAAGGCTATAATCATAGGGGAGGAGATTGCCCATCTTTCCCTCTCAGAATAGCTGGGGGATTTGAACAGCTTGGCTTTGACTGGATGCACAATTGTCTACTGAGTAGGCCACCTACGAGATTTAAATTACTAGATATTATGACTACATTTGTTCAAATGTAACATATATAACTTTTAATCTTAATTTTATTGAATGTATTACAATTTCTGGAAGCAGGAGTGGCATCAACTTCCTAAATAATATGTCTCTGGAAACTATGAACTCTGATGAATGTTGATAGTTGTAGAGGGGCTTCTGGCTTTTTGTTCATAGAGGTGCTATGAGTCAGGCTTGACTCAAGGGCAATCAGCAATAACATTAGAATATTTACAACAGCTTTGACTAAATTAAAGAATACACACACACACATACACACGTTATACATAGATATAGACATATACCGATAGATATTAAAAACACAGAGTTTCGTTGGTATAGTCATTACCATGCCAACCAAGCTGCTGACAGTTTAATGGGTCACATACAACAGCTGTTTCATGAGAGAAAGATGAAGAGTACCCATCAGTAAAAATTTATAGCCTTGGAGTTTGATGGCTTGCTATAGTTAGAACTGACTTGATGGCAATGGGATAAATATGTAGAGATATTAACAAGTGGATAGTATATATACAACTAGAACTATACCTCTCTAACTATGATTGGTCAGGGCAATAACTTAAATGAAACCTAATAGTGTAAAATTTTACTTTAGGTTTATCTTTGCACAAAGATCATTCATGTCTCACTTTTAAAATGCTAATCATTATTTAATTTATCTGAAATCAAGGGGTTTTGGTCTTATTTATCAGTGCTTGTGTGTGTGTGTGTGTGTGTGTGTGTGTGTGTGTGTGTGTGTGTGTGTGATGTATCCTACCATCTATGTTCTGCTTCCAAATATATACTTTTTTGTGGCTTATAAAAATGAAGTACTTCATGTGCAACAATAAGATTAATGCTGTGATGCTGAACCTTGTGCCGTTAGGGTATCAAATACCATAATGGTTTCCCAGTGTGGACAGGGTTTGGTGGCGCTCTCGGTTGTAGGACAGGTTTGGGAGCAGGAGTGGCTTCCACTTTCTAAACCACATGCCTCTGGAAACTATGAACTTGGAGAAATGATGACAGTTATGGAAAAGCATTAGGTCTTTTGTTCATAGAGTCGCAGTAGACTTGATGGCAATTAAACAACTACAATATTGGTCACATATAAGACTTTCAGTTTGTTAACTTCTCCAAGTATTAGATTCCCTGTACATAACACTGGAATAGTAATACTTTCTGCACTATTGATTAGTGAAGATTGTGGAAAATGACAATGCTAAGATTAGGTTAATCTTACTAAAAGGTCTATCAGATACAATTTGTTAAATAAAATAGCAATGGTAATAATGATGATGAAGATATGAATCCCATACAGAAAGTAAAGAGTTGTGTTTCCACCTAAACTACATGAGTGCATCTATCTGAAATGGACTTTATCACTAATGATAGGATTCTCAAATCCATGTACAAAATACGCACCTCATTGCTCAGGGAAAAGAGACAATTGTATTTTGAATAGCTAAATCTGAAAACAACTTTGGAGACATAGCAAATACTATAAGAAATAAGTTAGAATCTTAGTACACTCATAAGTAAATCTGAGATACAGCAGAAGAAATTAAATTAGTGAATAATGTGCAAGGCACCAGATGTTCAAGTACAGCACTGTGGAATCCAAAGATGCAGTATGAAGTAAATAGATAAAATACACATAGTTTAAAGATGTAACATTCATCCCAGCCACAAAATCATATTTGTCTCCATTACCTATGCAGTCTAAAATCCATCCCACAGTGCCATCTCCTCCGCATGCCAGGACTCGGAAGTCAGATACGTCACGGAAAAAATTTAACCTGAAAAAGCAGCACAATATATTAAAAACATTCTAAAGTCAGAACATTCCAGTTGTGTAGACATTTTATTTTATTTATGAAGTATATTGTATTTACCATATCAATTCTCAAGGATTTTATTGAAAAATAATGATCCTTTTTACAGAACAAAATATTAGAAGAAACTTAGTATCTTTAGCATTTTGATATATTTTGTATAGACACCTAAGTTTCTATAATTGATATATTTTTCTTTTTCAATATAAAAGGTAATTATGAGATGGAAATTACTCAACCAGAACATGTTTGGTTCAAATTTTGTGGTGCAGCTTCTTACCACCAGGCCACTAGAGTTCCCTCAGTTCAGCTTTTGGTATCACATCTTAGAGTAAGTCAAACTAATAAACTATAATGTTTTGTAAGATATCCCAGTTGTGACATACAGTTCATAGAATTAAAGTTAACAGTACCTTATTTTAAAAATTTCAAAAAATAAAACTATTTTCTGAATAAATATATAAATGTGATTCTTTTGTCAGTAACGCTATAGTTTTAAAAAATTGTGTACTTGTTATGATACTGAGAGAAGATTTTTCTGATTGCGGCTGGGTTTCAACCTCACTAATTCACAGTTCTCTTCTGATTTGAAATGTGCAAAGAACAGACAGGCTTGACCTTATCTTTTACCAGTTCTACAGTGTTTGTCACTCATGAACACTCAGGTGTCATAGTTGGGTCAGCTGTATTAAATGCTCACGTTTTCTGCTGTCATAACATACGGCATGGTTACTAATATGACCTAATTTGAGAACAGTAAAAAAAGCAAGTTATTCGCCCACTTACACAATTATATGTGCTATTTTCTTGTCATAAAATAATTCAAGCAGGAAATAAATATTTGGAATAAGTCTCTTTAATCTTTCCAGCCTCAAAGATAAATGATCTGCAAAAATGTAATGCTCCAAGATATTTTTGCCTGCATTTACATATATAATACTTATATAGCTCTTAATTACTGAATTTACATAAATTTCTAACATGAATGGGATTATGCAGTAGATTGTTGTAGTTGTTATTATGTACCATTGAATTGGAAGCAGCCCATAGCTGACTCTCCAGTGGGATTTTAGAAGCAGTAAATTACTTGAGAAGAGACTGCCCCTTTTTCTCCCATAGAGCAGATGGTGGATTTGAACCACATGTCTTTGAGTTGGCAGCACAGTTCTTACCACTAGGCCACCACAGCTCTCTCTCCTGTAGATACTGTACCTTAATTTTTCCATTTAAATGCATAATATGTCCAAAGACTTTTCTATGCAAGCACAAATATATTTTCTAATAAACTAATATATTAAGTAGGATATATATATACAGATCCCATACATAAGTAAGTACTTTTTTATATTTGGCTTTTTAAAGCATTGTTGGCTTTTCACTATCCCTTTTTCCTCCTTAAAAAAATTATAGTTAAAAATACCTGAAGTATACTTTGTGAACATTGGCAAGCAAAAGCCAATTTTCTGGAAGAGAAGTTTTTTTATTATGCTATCACTTTGTCCTAAGTAGCTCCTATTTTAAAGTAAGTAAGAGCTCATTTCTGTGTACCTCAAAACACTGCATATCAACCTCTTTTATGTAAACAGTAAGTGAAAGATAGCATTACTTTTTGTGGTTTTTCTTTTTCCTTGTAAGTTTCATTTTATTAAATGTGACTGAAGCAGACATTGTGGTGATTAAAGAACTTGGTCAACATGGCTTAGACAGACTTCTGGCCCACCAAGATCTCCAACAGAGTAACAGCTGCGAACCAAATGACTTTATCTGAAGGAATGGTACAAATTTTTGGTGCAATTTATAGAAAAGGTAAAATAAAACATGCAGGTGGCCTGTTGGTGCCTACAGAAGTCGTCCTGTGGCTGTGGGGAAGTTGGACTAAAGCTTCGCTCACCTCTAGTCATCACTGTCTCCCAGGGGCTGCTTGTCAAAGAGGTACTCTGCCAGGCCCGAGTCCGGGGTGCCTATCTCACATAAGTTGGTTACTTAGTCACCCAGTTGTTTGATGGATTTCATCTGCTCATCCACATAATAGGTATCAATAAAGTCACCAAAATGAGGGTTGTTCTTGTCAGTGGCTGGTTTGTGCAGTTCTTGTAGGGACTGATTCACACTTTTCTCAAAGTGCAGCCTTCAGCCTGCTCTCCCCATCATCCTGGTCTGATTTCTTGATGTCCTGAAGGAAGATGTGGCCACCTTGCTGGTTCTGCAGTTTCATGGCATGTTCCTTCTCTGCATGGGTTTGGTGGAGGAAATATTTGGCAAAATTCTTCAAGACCACATTATCACAGTCAAAGTAGTAAGACATGGACAGATAGATATAGGAGGCCTAGAGCTCCAGGCTGATGGCAGCCGTGGAGTCTTGGTTGTAGTTGCGGAGTCCTGGGTGTAGTTCTGGAGTCCTCGGTGTAGTTCTAGAGACCTGTGTGTAGTTCTGGAGTCCTGGGTTTAGTGCTGGAGTCCTAGTTTTAGTTCCGGTGCACCTGCTAAGAGGACACGGTCGTGGTGGTGGTGAAGAGGCAGTGCTGCTCAGTGCTCCATGGTGCTGGAGTGGAGGCCAGGACCTTGGGGCATCCAGGGGTGCTGATGTGAGGAGCTGGCAAGAGCTGGAAAGCGCCGGCTTCCGTTCACACTGTTGAAGCAGGAGACTATGGCGGCTCTCCGAAGACCATCTCTTAACATTACTTTTGCATGTTAATCTTGCACTTCCATTTACTAGTGAGAAAGAGCATATTTCCAATTTTCTGGATATATATGACCTCATCTGTGAATTGTATCTTTACATGATGTACCCTACTTTTACATTGTGCTATAATTTTTATTCTATAAGCTCTATACAAATTGATATTTTGTATTTATATTAGCTTCAATAATCTCATCAAAGTAGTTCACAGAAAGCAAATAAGTAAAAGAAACATATAAGAGCCACCTAAAAGCCCACAATGAATGTAACCATGACTATTTAGAATATGAAATGTTCATATATTTCCTTAAGCATTGTATTGCATTCATGCTTACACATATTCCTTTTACCAGTTCCCAGTTTGTTAATAGATATCAATCCAGGAGGTAGAATATTCCCTAATAATAAATAATAATGTGTGTGTGTGTGTGTGTGTGTGTGTGTGTGTGTGTGTGTGCACACTCTTTTCTTTTGGAGCACCTCTTCTTTCTCCAACAGAGACAAGCACAAGTCTGAATTGTGGGGTTATTTTATGTATAAGGAACATTATTGCTATTGTTATGTGCCATTGAGTCACCTGCCACTCATAATGATCTTTTGTACAACAGCCATAAACCCTATTATGTCCTGTACCAACTCACTGTCTCTGACACACCCACCCTGATTACCCCAGTCACTGAATCAATCCATCTCAGAGAGGGTGTTCCTCTCCTGCGCTGTCCCTCCGCCTCCCAAGCATGACATCTTTCTCCAAGGACTGGTCCCTCTTTGCAACAAGTTCAGAGTATGTCAGACAAAGCTTCAGAATCTTTGCCTCCAAGGAGTAGCCTGGTTTCACCCTCTCCATGTTGAACCTGTTCATTTTCTTAGCAGTCCATGATATATTCAATACTTTTCTCCAACACCACAGCTCAAAGGCATCAATCCTCCTTCTATCCTCCCTAGTCATTGTCCAACTCTCTGATGCACAACAAGTGATTGAAAAGATTATGACCTATATCAGGTGCACCTTAGTCTACAGAGTGACACCATTGTTATTTAGTATTCTGGAGAGGTACTTTAACAGCCGACTTTCCCCTTGCAATACATCTTTAAATTTCTTGGCTGCTGGTGCCAAGAGAGTTGACTGTGGAGCCAAGCAAACTAAAGCTGTGAACAATCTCTTCAACATCCATCCTGATGCTACCAATTGGCCTATTAGTAAGAATCTTTGTCCTCTTGATTTTGATCCTTCATCCATATTGAAGGCTGCAGTCCTTGACCTTCTATTTTTTTTCAACTTCTATTTGGACATGTTGCAAGGAGGGACCGGTCCTTGGAGAGGGACGTCATGCTTGGTAGGGTGGAGGGACAGCGCAGGAGGGGAATGCCCTCTATGAGGTGGATTGATTCAGTGACTGGGGTAATAGGGATGGGTGTGTCAGAGACAGCGTGACTGGCACAGGACAAAGCAGAGTTTAGGGCTGTTGTACATAGGGCCACTATGAGTCGCAAGCGACTTGACGGCACTTAACAACAACATTTGACACTGTTACAAAATACATTAAGGTTCTTAGTGAAGTCCTCTTCATTCAATTGATATTCTATGTAATGTGTGTGTGTGTGTGTGTGTGTGTGTGTGTGTGTGTGTGTGTATCCTGTCAAAGGACATTTGGATTACTTACATTTCTTTTCATTTAAATACTGCTTTCATGGATATACTTCCTAGTGCCAGTGGTCAATATCTACATGTGGGATGTTGTTCTGTGACTACTTTTAGTTTGTTGTTGTTGTTGTCGTCGTCATTGTTGTGTACCATCAAGTTGGAACTGACCCAGAGCTGACTTTCCAGTGAGTTTTTAGAGGCATTAAATCACACAAGAGGAGACTGCACTACCTTTTCCCGTGGAGAATCTGGTGAATTTAAACTGCCTGCCTTTGTCAGCAGCACACATCCTTACCACTAAGCCCCCAGAGCTCCTGAAGTCTGAAAGATTATGCTGATTTTTTTCTTCCCTAGAACTTCTTTACTGCCACGCTTCTAATTTTATGTATTTCCAGTTCTGAAACAACTTTTTTCTAAATTGTGTGTGTGTGTGTGTGTGTGTGTGT